CTTCATTCTTTCAGGATTTAGAAGATCTAAACATGCATCTCTTTTACCAGGTTTTCAATTATAATACTACTTTACTTTTTATTTTTTAAATTAGTATTAATCTGTGTTTTTATTTATTTTTACCCTTCTGCCTTTAAATTACTTTAACTGCCTGGAATGCTTCCAACAGTAGGAAGGAATGACATAACAAATGCATCTGACCAGAAAAAAGTATCATTAAAGTTTATATCTGTTTAACAGAATATCATAATAAAATGCAGTATAGGTAAATTCTCTACACTTATAAATGTATGCACTTGCATACCGTCACGTTTTGTTTTCGCATGTAAACAAAATTTCAATACCTGCATATTTTTACCAAATAATACTTAATATTTTTACCAAAAATATCAAAATACTAAATTATTCCAGTCTTACTAGATACTAATAGAAAAAGAAACTAAAAAAAACCTTATTATGGTTATTCAATTAGATTTCTTTAGTGCAATTCAAACAAGTAGCATTATGAGAAAAAAGAAACATGTAAAGTTTATAAATAATCTAGTTAAAATAATTACAAAACAATATTCAANATATTGAAAAAGAATTATAAATACCATCAACATAAAAGGGAGCTTGCTCAGAAGCTGAAATACACCAAGTAAATGAGATGAAGAGTGGGAAGTAGAAGAGAAAGCTAAGGGAAGACAAGAGGGATAGGAGAGAAGGCAGGGGGGGGAGAGGAGGAGAGAAATGAGGAGTGGTAGGGGGAGGGAGGAGAAGGAAAGAGGAAGGGGAAGTTGAGAAGAGAAGGATGACAGAGGGAAGAAAGGAGGTAGGGAGGGGGAGGAGAGAGGGAGAACAAATTGATGGACAAAGTACAAATACCGTCTATGGAGAGCAGAAGAGCCAATAATTGGTTTTTGGGAGTTATTGGTAAGATGACTTGATGTAAACATTTAATAATACAATATGATGTTGGTTATGTAATAGTATACATGAAATGGAAAAATAAAAAACTTTAATAAAAAAAGAATAGCATGGTGTGCATGGCAAGGTTGCAAGGAGAAAGCCACACTATCCAAAAAGAACACTGCTGCCCATCCAGAATTTACAAAAAACTACATTGATAAACCAATTATTATTGGAAGAATGCTTTGGTATGGAGTAGACCAGTGATGGCTAACCTTTTTGTTGTTGCGTGCCAAAAGTGCATGTGCTATAGAATGCACATGTGCCCCCCTGCCCCCTTGCATATGTGCATGTGACACCCCCCTGCACCCCATTTTGGGCCTAGTAGGCCTCCCTGCAGCCTTCTGGGAGCAAAAACGGGCTGGGGGGAGCACTGCACCCCCGCACATGTTCACAATCTACCTGTGGAACGATCTACCTGTAGAAATCCGGACCCTTACCACTCTCCCGGCCTTCCGTAAAACCACCAAGACCTGGCTGTTCCGGCAGACCTGGGGCTGTTGATCAATGTCCAGCCCCACTTAGACAGAATGGATGGTGTGTAATTTTAACAACTGTATTTTACCTTTAATTTTTTAAATGCTTTTTTATCTTGTCTGTAAGCCACCCAGAGTACCAAGCAAATGGGCGGCATACAAATTTTATTAAATTTCAAATTTCACACAACCCCGCCCCCGCATACGTTCTCCAACATGCCCCCCCCCATGCATATGCAGACTTGAAAATCAGCTGGCTAGCAGGAGGCAGGCACATCGCATGGTGGAGCTGAGCTGGTGCTCTGCGGCATGTGTACAATAGGTTCACTATCATGAGAGTAGATCAAAAGGGAACATTTTGATTTGAATGAAAAGCATTACGTTTGGCAAAAGGCAAACACTGGATTGTTAAAAATTCCTTGTTCATGTCACAATACTCAACCATACTGGTAAAAACTGGAGCATTACTGGTATAGGAAAAACCACATTATTGAAATGACAGAAGCAGCCACAATACAAGTAGTTCTTCATCAATGCACAATGAATTCCACGAAAAGGTAACATAATCCAAATTCATACTATTCAAAGTTATATAGTTAATGAAGAATTGGTTCCAGCTTGATAGAAATAGACAATGAAAAAAATGAAACATGATTTTATATGCATATTAAGGAAATATTACACCAAAGAAAAAATAATATTTTATTTTAAATTTATGGTTAATAAAGTCACAAAGTAGTATAAAAAGCAAAACATAAAAATCTACTGTAGATTCAGGCATTCCAACTCCTCTTATTTTAGCATTGCTATGATCATGTTTATGTCATTCAATTATATCAAATTTTTCCTTCCATGTAATAAGCCTCTTCTTTTTTAAATTGAGTGTTGCATTATTCAAATTCACACAATTTGCAACCTCTCTATATCACATACAATGGGCACATACATCTTTTTAACAGACCACAGAAACCATGTTAGCACAATACCCTGTCCCATTTATCCTTCTTTGGAGAGTAGTTATGCAATACTTTATTATAAAACATTTTATTATTATAAACATTCATATACTTTTCTGTAGAATTACCTTTTGCAACCTAAACATCTCAAAAGTCAATTACAATTCCTATAATCTTTAAGAAAGTTGAACAAGTGGGAATTATTTAATAACATGCTTGGTAACATGTCTTCCGGATCTTGAAGAAGTAAATTTAAATTGTCCACAGCTGAGAAGGCTGTGACAAAGTTTCAGAACCACAAAAGGTAAAGAAAAAAAATCCAGAATTAATCCTGTCTTTCAAATATTTCTAAATTCCTTAGACAAAATCAATTCAATACTGATTAATTTCTCAAAGTAGAACCTTAACATCAAGTTCCAAATTTGTTTTATGAAACAACCTGTTATATATTTTTATGCTTACAGATCAAAACTAAGATAAACACTTGTGCTGAGTGTATGTTCTGAATTTTAAAGAAATTATTTTTATTTATCAGTTAATGCTTCCTTGCCTTCAGGCAGTCACAGGGAAAATTGTGAAGTATTCTCTCAGCGTTTGCACCGGCTGCAAAAGTTGTGGTTGCCTTAAGGGAAAAAAGCCTGTAAAAAGACTGATGCAAAATGTACTTCAGAGTAATGTTGATGATTAATAGATACATTAAATTGTTTTATAAGGCATCCCCTTTTCCCCTAACAAGGCACACAGGGGAGATTCAAGAAATTATAGGTTAGTCAGCTTAACATCTGTTCCAAGCAGAAATGGTAATCAAAGAAAAAATAATGAGGTACACAGAACAGGCCTCACCAAAACAGAAAAAATAATAATAAATTCTCACCAACCTTCTCAAAGCATTTGTTAAGGGTCAACAGGAGGAGAGGTGAAAGTAATCTCCTGTTGACATTGTATATTTGGATTTTAAAAATAATACTGATTCAATTCCACCTGAATCAAAGCCTCCTGAGCATACTTGACAGTTATGAATAAGAGATCCTTCCTTTTTTGGATTGTTACTGTGTTTAAAAAACAGAAAGTAAATAGGACTAAATGAGCAGTTTGAGCTCTTCTCGAAGGAAGGGAGGAATAGAGCTCTTCAAGGTTTTGCACTGAGACTAGTGGTTGTAAACTTGTTCTTTCGTGATCTTGATTCAGAGCAAGCTCACAAATCTACAGGTGAAACTCTAAAAATTAGAATATCGTGCAAAAGTTCATTTATTTCAGTAATGCAACTTAAAAGGTGAAACTAATATATGAGATAGACTCATTACATGCAAAGCAAGATAGTTCAAGCCATGATTTGTNTGTCTTGGTGGGATTGGCATGGCTGAGGTTTGGTGGGCATGGCAGGGGAAGGATACTGTAAAATCTCCATTCCCACCACACTCCAGGGGAAGGTTACTGCAAAATCCCCATTTCCTCCTGATCAGCTGGGACTTGGGAGGCAGAGAATAGATGGGGATGGGGCCAATCAGAGGTGGTATTTACCAGTTCTCTGGATCACTCAAAATTTCCACTACTAGTTCTCCAGAACAGAGGAGATTTTAATATTCAAGTAGTCATTTCTTTGACACAACAGCAAGGTTTTTATTTTAGGAGGTGCTGCCTTACCACAGTAATTAATTTAAGCAATGGAGTACACTGGATAATGCAGATTTGAATTTATACATAATAAATTAAAAGACTGCTTAGTTTTCAAGCTTCAATTATGCCTATTGCGGAAATGCAAAAATGGAAAAAATTTCTATTTGTTGCATACGGAAGGAACTGTAGGCAAAAGGGCTAGAATAGAAATAACAACAGCACTTTAGGAACACAGTAAAAATAAAATGTGTACAATCAACGAATTCATGTGGGGCATAGCAAAAACCCCATGCAGTATAGCGCATCCTGTTAGGATTATGTAAATTCAACTGAAGTCTATAGTATTTACTTCTATGTAACCTCCTATGTATGAGAAACCTTCTAAAGCAAAGGGTCTCTAACCTTGGCCACTTTAAGAACTGTGGACTTAAACTCTCAGAATTCCTCAGCCAGCTTTCTGGGAGTTTAAGTCCAGAGGTCTTAAAGTGGCCAAGGAGATCCCTGTTCTACAGTGAGTTCGAAAGCTGCCCGGAAATAAAGCCATTTGTAATCGGGCGAAGACATCTGAGCTGCAAAAATCAGGACAAAAGAAAAATATAGGTTTTGTACCTCGTTGCTGCCAATTAGCGATCATCCGAATGTTTGTAAGGGATAAAGGGTAGTAACACTAGGTGGTAAGACACACAAAGGATTTTCCGGGGACGGCTTTAATTACTGAGTCCTGGATTACAAACAGAGATTTATTTTAAAGATCTTTCGAATTTACGACCGTTTTACCTGCTACACCAAGGTCGATAAAATACGAGAATCCCCCCCGCCTCATTCTAATACATTTGCCCCACCACTTTATAGCATTTCTGTGGTCCGTTCTCCCACCAGTTCCGCTCTTCGCTTTTCTTCTTCTATGATGTCATACCAGCGCTCTAGGAATGTCGGGAAATGTATTTTGTAGGCCGCGAGAGCTACCAAAAACGCATGCGCGGAAGCTAACGAAGCCGCCATTTTGGACGGAGGCGATTTGAAGTTGTGTTTGGGTTCCGGTTTGCTTTGGTTCGGGACGCGTAGCCGTCCCCGCTTGACCCCCGCGGAATGCTTGGCGAGCGAGTAGCCGATTTGTTTTGAGGTTAGTCTGCAGATGCGGATAGAAAGTCTCTTTGGGAAGAGCGAGGCTGAGGCAAGGGCCGCCAGGAAGCCTCTGAATTGCACAGCCCGAGGGAGAAGAACTGGGGTGGGGGGTGGGCAGAGGCTTGTTTTCTGTGTGACGCCTGTTTACGCAGAGGATATATCCGCCCGCTTTGCCCAGCCTGGGCCTCTTGAACTACAGCTCCCGTTGCTCTTAGCTGTAAGGGCAGTCGCTTTGCCGTGAGGGATGGGACTTGTAGTCCAGTGGGAGAAAGTGGAGGCAAGCCCTTCATTGGGGCTGTGCTTTTGTACCTGAGCTGTCACTCTTCGCATGAGGAGGTGTAGGATTGACATGCCTCCCTCCCCAGTGATGTTGGGGCACCTGATGCGTAAAAACAAGGGGCAGTACAGATAGCTGTGGCCACAGTTGTCCCGCAGGCAGATCATTTGGAGGGGCTGACCTCCCAAAATCCGGATCATGAGTCTTAAGTAGCACATGGGACCTTTTAGAAAAGGGCAAGGCTAAATAAAACGGTATGACTTGGGATCTTAATTCTGAAGTGGCAAGCGCTTACTTTATTTTGTAGATGGCTGTTGTGTGTTTTCAAAATAAGCTCTAACCATTTTGTTGTTCTTTGGCCTCAATTTCTTCAGAACTTTTTTTTATTTTTTTCCCCAAAGCAATGCAAAATGCCTAAACAATATGTTTTACCCTTAGGTTCCTTTTCACAATCTCTCACTAATGTTACAGTAACATTATTTTATTATTCAGAAAGTATATTTACATAGAAGAAAAATAGGTTGGCTACAATGGGTGCATCCTCAGTTCGTCTTGTTTAGCTTCAATCATTGCATGAGTAATGTGTGGTCACAATATGAAACTTACTTGATATAATACTTTATATTTTATTGTTTTTAAGATGCTTCATGCTGCGTATAAGTCAAGATACTTTGAAAATCAAGATGTCTCAGTAGCTGAGCCCTCTTCTAAAAGGATGAAATCTACAGAAGAGCCGTATGGTAAATCCTATGATGAATTACAAAGACTTCATGAGGAAATACATATAAAAAAAACCCATTCTGGCTTTATTCCATTGTCGCTATCTGATGATAATGGTGAAGAGGAGGAGAAGAAAAGAGGGAGAGAGAGAAATGCAGAAGCATTAAACTCATTTAACCAACTACCTCCTGGGCAAATACCAAGTTCAACAAATCTTTCACATTTAGTAAACAAAACTAAAATTAAAGGAAATGAATATTCTTTTGTTACTGACAACAGCAAAGTAGCTCAAAATGGAGATAACAACAATTTCATTAGTGAACATAAAAATAAAGGGAAAATGGAACTGTACAGCACAAGCAAGGCATTTATTGGACCCATTTATAAAAGTGAAAGTAATTGTGAACAAAGGCAAAGGTATATTGAAAACAACTGCCCAAAGAGATCAAATACTATTACTGGTAGAAAGTCTCAGAAAGAAATAGTGCAAGCTATCTCCTGTGATACGCCAAAAATAGAAGATGAATTGTCACAATTCTACAAGGAGATTGATCAGCTTGAAAGTAATGAATATTGTCCAGATACTTATTTACAGGAGACAGAAGCAAATTTATCTTATCCACGTCTGGACTGTAGTAAATCAAATCAAGTAATGCATGTAAAATCTCAAGAATGGTCTCATAAGAGTAATGAGGAACAATATTTTTATAATGAATCAAATTGCTATAGAACTGGCAAAGACATTTGTGACCCAGATGGTCACAGAACTGGCATGGAACAAAGTGAACATGGAAGAGATGCATGGGAAACCGAACAACCATGTAATAAACAAAATTTTAGATTCTGTAATGATTTTGTACCTCAGTTTAGGGATAGTGGTCCACAGACCCATCCATTTGTAATACCTTACAATCCACCACATCCATTTACTGCTCACTTCAATTTTCAAAAAACTAATTCTTTATCACTTTGTTCAGATAGCTTCAATTCTTCAAATACAGAATTTAAAGAAAATAACATGAACACTTCAGAATGTGGTCAAAGTAATCCATACAGTAATCACTCTAATATTCATAGTATGCATACAATCAGAAATGAATGTAGTGTACCCGATGGATATATCTTTAATGGTTTCTGTGAAACTCAAGCAAATTGGAAAAACAGTAAAGCTCACAATTTTGATGAGTCAAATAATGTTCTCCAACAGCATCCTCAGGACAAATTATATGAGTTTAAAAAGCGGCTTTTAATATTAAGAGGACTTCCAGGCTCTGGAAAGACAACCTTATCTCAGTAAGTGAATCATGAATTTATTTTAAGAATAAAATGCAAGTAATTTATGTCATAGATTTCCTCTTCTATACTGCTGCTTCCTTTTAATCTCTTCGCCCTCTACTTATTCCCTCTATCTCTAGATCGAAGTCACGACTTTTTCAGTGGTTGGCCAATGGTCTTAAATCATTCATCAAAATGTACTATTTAATTTATTGTTTAAGCTCAAATATCAATCCAAGTATTAAAACTTTAGAAACAAAAACACCTTATTTTGAGTATTTGAAGATTATGAGCTTTGAACAATTTCAGATCAGTTAGTTCATTTGTATTTCTTTCTTTTTTTTGTTTAAAATGAAAAAAGAGTATATGGGAGCATAAGCAAATAGATGGGCAAAAAATTAAAAGATAAAGACTGGGTAATTCCCCTTCAAGAAAGCAAAATTTAAAGCTGTTGAAATCGTAGTTTTCAGATAACTGGTGTTAGTATTAGGTTTACATAATTTTTAACTCCCAGCTAAGAAAATGGGCCTTTAGACATACAGTGACTAGATTCCACAAAAGACCTTTCTGAATCTTATCTGTAAATCATGTTTTCTTATTAGACTACATTTTAATGATTATTTCTTTCATTAGAATATTCTGTAAAATTTGGGAAATAATTTCAATTAAGATAGCTATAAATATGTTTTAATGTAATTAGCACACATTCTTTTAATGGTATGTTTAGGGAAATAGGTCAAAGCATTTTTGTTGAAATGAACTGAGCTAAAACAAGTGTTTTAGAAACACATTGCTGAGGACTTCTTAGAAATGTTTATATTAATAATTTTTAGCTTCGTCTGCATGAGACATGTATTTACCTGAATTTAAACAATTAATGTACATTGGCTGTTTATTGGTTATTGTTATGCAGCCTTTTTTTAAAAAAATGATGCTTGGATAAAAGGATGAAAAATTAGATTTGGGAACTGTCGTAGTCCTAAGATGTCTGTCAAAAATGTATTGGAAATGTTTTACTAAAAATTCAGTGTAAGGTTTTGTGTTTTTTCCAAACCAACATTTGGTTATGTGGTAATAGACTTCCTTTTTATTCCTTTGACAGTATTCTCCTTGGTCAGAGTTGTAATGGCATTGTATTCAGTACTGATGATTACTTCCATCAGATCAATGGATGTTGGGGCTATAATGTTTCTCAGCTTGGTGCTGCTCATGAGTGGAATCAAAATCGAGGTGTGAAAATATTAAGATATGTCAATGTAGAAACATTTACAATGAAATATGTACTTAAATTGGTATTATAAATGTGAGAATTTGTAACAGATTCATTGGTATATGCAATAATATCCCCATAAACAATAGGGAATTTGAATTTTTACCAGGGTTCCTTACTATTTTTCTCTTTTATGGGATGTTTTGATAAATGGAAACTGTCTTGTGCCTATCTTCTCTATAGGTACAGACAAATCTAAAATGTTAAATGTAAAGGCAAACCAAGTTAAGCTTACTATTTTTTGCAGATTGTACTTTCTCAACATGACCTATATTTTTCTATGTGAACAACCACTTGACCATTCATTTATAAATTCAGATTTGGGGCATCTTTGGATATTAATGGGAAAGGTGAGGCAGTGTAGATTATAACATTATACAAAAAATGTAATGGCTATCAAAACATTTTGCTAGATCTTATGAAATTAGAAAATGTTTATGGTATTAAGTATAGCCCTCAGAACTTAAGAGCTAAATCAAGCCAGTGACTAGACTAGTCTAGCATTCTGTGCTAGTGCATGATCAATCAGAGATATTTAAACAAAAACAGGGAGATGATAGGCCTCTTCAACTTTTATTCTCTTAGGAGGTTTTCAAAAGATTAATTATTTTAGTTGCCATTTATTTAATTGAATTCTTATGTGTTGCAGCAAAAGAAGCAATGGATTTAGGAAGATCCCCAATTATTATAGACAACACAAATACACAAGCCTGGGAAATGAAGCCTTATGTGAAAGCGGTAAATAAAGCAGCCACTTTTAATGGAGATTCACTTTTCTGTCTTAATATATAAATCTAATTTCTGTAAATGTATTAATCATTTTTGTCATACATTTCATCATATGTTCACTAAGTCTTATGATCTATATAAATCTCAATAAAACTTAAAACTTTTACTGGAATAAATATTATGTTAAATATGCTGAAATTGAAATACAATCTTATACATGTTCTCTTAAAAGAAATCCCATTATACATAATATGACATTTCCAATTTGGTATATACAGGATTGCAGATGTTCAGAAAAACTATTATTTGATGTTCCTTTTATAACTGTAGTTCTTGTTGCTTAGGCTCTAGAAAAAGGCTACCATGTGGAATTCCATGAACCAGATACATGGTGGAAGTTTAATCCTGAAGAACTAGAAAAGTAAGACTTAAATTATACTTCACTCATTTGAAAAAAAAATGTACGAGACTTCCATCTAATACACTCATTTCCATTATTGTCCTTAAATATGAAACTTGAAACTTTTGAAAACTTTTGTATAAACTTAAAATTATCTTTGTCCCTGCTCCAAGACAAATTTATTTTCTAGGCTTTGTGAAATAGAACCGCACACTGTGCTTTCACTTGGATATTTTATTAATTTTTAATTATGCTGATGCTTGTAATTAAGTAAGGTGGATGAGTTCAGTTACAGTGACAACGGCAACAATGGGTGCATATTTGGAAATTAGGAACAGATCGTGGTAGAGAAAATTTGTCTATGTGATCTCTAAGAGTCAACATCAACTTCTTGGTATAAAGTCTTATAACTACAGTTTGCTTTTATGTGCATGGAGTTTCATTCACAATCTCCTTTTGTTATTCAGTTGTCCTGATCCACAAATTCCCCAGGACTTGCAGGCTACATACAAGTCTTATCAGTGACTTGCCCCAGAGTACTATTTATAGTACTATATTCAAGTACTATAAATCCAATATATCAGTAGTACCCTCTGCCAGGATACTTGGCAGCATTTAAATAAAGGAAATGAAGAAATATATCAGTGTAACAATAAAATAAATAAATTCAAGAAACTATGTAGCAGCAGCCTATAAAAAAAATACTAAGTTTATGTCCCTCTTGAGCTCTTCATTTTGTCTACTTGCAAAAATCCTTGTTGGTACCTGCCTGTCTCTGATACTTATAAACATGCAGGAAGTTGGGAGGTTCTAATAAATTTGTTTTAGATGAGAAACATCTACAATTAAGCTATATATTTAAGATGGACACAATGCTACTACTGACATCTTTTATGTTCAAAATCACTGCTCAATTGCTATTTTTCCATTAAAATATATATTAGTCCTTGCAATTTTTTTTGAAGAACACAAACTGAAGGTATTCTAGATGGTATTCCAAGATGGTCAGATTTTTATTTGTTTAAATTATTTCTTTTATAGGAGGAATAAACATGGGGTCAATCGTGAGAAGATTGTGCAAATGCTGGAAAGATATGAATATCAAATCTCAATGCCCATTGTCATGAATTCAGTGCTTCCTTTTCATAAAACTTCAGAAAGACCATATTTACAAAGAAGACAGAGGTGGGGAGACTCTCCAGTCTCTTGGAATACTTTTAATGTATCACATAAGCGAGGATACATTTAAGGTCAAATTTCTTTATCAGTAATAGCTTGCCATTTATACACAATTAGTAGAGTTAAATCTATTGAAAAGACTTAATTTCTTGATCTGTTTTAAATATGCAGTTAATTTCTTTTGTGACTAAAATAGGTTTAATGCAGATTAAATATCTTGGAATTATTTATAAAAATGTAAATGTTTAATATTAAAATGTAAAATACTTTCACATTTTATATTTGTACTAATCTTGATTTTATTGAAACTTGCGATAATCACTTATTTTTAGTGCAACATTTTACTTATACCGCAAACTGCTGAGCAGTTTCTTTTTCTCAATAGAATATCATGGATTTTTAATAAACAAATAACAATAGGGTAACTTTTAATATAGGATTTACATTTGAACAATTTTTTTTTTTTTGCTTTTAGTAGCATTTCAAGTTCTGCCTATCTATTGACCACAGTTATGTTATTCTGAAGCTTATCAATCAAACATTGATATTTGGCTGAAGTTCTTGGGTTTCCATTTTCTGATCTGTACAGAATTTTATCTGTGCAAGTTGTAAGTTGTGGCTTTGAATATCAGCATGCAGCATGTGATTTGTATTCTTACAAATCAGTTCTCACATAGAACTTTTTTATCAAATACTAAGTCCACACGATTATGGTATGTTAAATGTTGTGCCTTTTGATATGGGTACTTATGGTAGTTTTCTTACAAAAGAATTAATACATTCAAATATGTTGAAAAAGTGAAACTGACATTAGTTACACCATATTACATTTGTTTAGGATATGATATATACCATATCCACTTCATGGTATGCTTGTGGCTGAATTCACAAAAAGTCTTTGTGCTAATGCCATGTAATAAATTGAATGCCTCTTTTCTTTTTGCATGATTTTGTATGGCTTCAGCAATCCAGTCTCAATGGAATTGAGAATTACACAATTTCTCCATGAGAACCTTTGGAAGTTAAAGAGTAGCATGCCCTGTAGAAAAAGTTCCTACAGGCTATTGGTAGAACTATTGGTGAAAATAATTTGACTTTCATGACTAGATTTTTAAAAAAGTAAACGTACTCAGGGCCTAATATCCATGCTCAGTGATGAAATCTGAAAAAGTAAAGGCATTCATTAAAGCAGCAGCCTGAAATACAATTTAAACGTACTCTTCCATAATATTTCTAGATAATCAAATTATTAATGGGAACATTCACTTCATCTCATGCCTAGGCTAACATGTTGTTTATGAATCTACTGACTCAACATTACAGAAAACATTTACTTAATTGTATGATTTTGTATGAAAACTTCAACCTTCACCAGGATATCCACATAATGGAATAATGGTTCCATTATACTTTGCCCTTTGACAGTGAATTCAAACGTAGGATACATAGATTGTTCTACACCTACAGAACTCTTATGATAACCTCACCCTCGGGTCTGTGCGCTCAAACTTCCAAATGTTCACTAAGGATCATATTGGCTGGGAAGGAAAATGAAATCAACACATCTCTAGGGCACCCAGGTTGAGGAAAGTTACCTCATAATACGGATGGAATATTTACTAATCAAAATACTGTAATTAAGGATTTTTTTTCCAACAATAATATTTGAAAACTCCAAATCTCTTTAACTCCATGGTAATAGCTGCTAATATTATCTACTGAAGTGCAGTTTTGATCAATTATTTTTCCCTACAACTCTACTTTTTCTACTTTTTAATCATTTATTATAACTTTATACAAACATACAAACATGACTTTCTTTTCTTGTTTTTCTTTTTTAAATGATAAACACATAGAGGGTTGAATAATCGTGCAAATGGGACTCAAAGTCCAGATGGAATTCTGGATATTTATTAATTTTTGTGTGTCCTAATCTTTAATGTATTGAAAAACATGCATGTAAATATTACTAAATAGAAATAATTAAAAGATATTTTGGATAATTTACTGCTTAATTTGTTTGCTCCATTGCCATTTCCTTCCTTTAAGTAGAAGAGGTTCTTGTAAAAATTAAGTTCAGTAAGTTTAATATATTAGACTTCGCATTTAACAATATGTGCTTATAACTGTTAATGGTGCACCAGTATTTTGCAAGTTAATAATACATATTTTGTCATTAGTAATATGAGAATATTGCCTTTGTTCATCTCGGCATAATTATGTAGATGATCATGATATGCAGAAAACTAGGGAGATAACTTTGAGGCAAAGATTCAGGAACGATTATCTAAACAAAAAAGCCCAAAGCATTCCTTGGCTAAAAAGGAGATAATATTAAGAAGAAATTCTCTTGACTCATTGAGGAGCAAGGGGAGGAGAAACTCTTATCAAACTTGCAAGATTCTGTTGCTATAGTAATAGTCTATCTCAATAAAATGCAGCTCTAGTATTACTGTATTTTCTGATCTGGTCTACCACAAAAGCCTCATATGATATGGAGGTGGCTTTTCCTTTCAGAAGTAGACATTATTTGTCCCCAATTTTGTACTTTATAGCAGACAACGAGCTCCACTTTTTCCTACTTTTATATTAATCATCATCTTGTCGCAAAATTGAAAAATAAGCATATGGACAAGTAAGGCAAGTCTTCACCTTTATGTCAGTTTGAACAGATTGAATTCCAGCTTTAAAAAAAAAGAATCAGTAGGAAAACAAAAATTTATACATCCCAGGGCATACAGTATGAGAGGTTGGGGAAACTCACAAGGCACAGTTTGGTTCTCAATACTACTTATACTACTTAACAAAACTACTATGATTGTTAGGTGTTTGGGGACTGGGTATCATCAATATGCTGATGACATTTGAGTTCTTCTCTATAACATCAGAAATAGAAGAAAGTTATGATTTGAAACTGGTGCATTTAGGAAATAGAGGAGGGCCAATAAATTGAGGTTGAATCTTGCAAGACCTTGTGAGGAATTACCGGATATGGGAGTTAAGAACTTGCCTGTTTGCCCTCATTTAAGAAGCACATAGCTTGGTAGTCTATCTAGAGTCATGGTAATCAGTTATGGCACAATAACCTATGATTCTGGGGTGCTTGTAATTTTAGTTGTATAACAGATCCTGGTGGATTACTGCAATGTTCTATGTGTGGTACTATCACTGATTTTATTACAGAAGTAACCACTAATTTATTCAGTGGAATAGCCTAAATAATTTACAGTACCCTCCAATTAGTTACTGAGATACGTTAAAGGTTTTACTTTTGACATAAACTATTTGAAAGCACATACAGTATCTGACAGACGTAGTCCAGGAAGATCTTCCTGCATGTGCTAAAAGCAAACAGTATCTTGCAGTTATTTTACAGGTGGCTCCTCCCTGCAAATTTGTGAGGATCTATTGTTACACTTTTTTATACCTGTTGATAATTTGGCATTTCTTCCAATATTTAATTGATTGAATGTTGTATTGTTATTTTTGTTTTCCTTCTTTTTATAATTGCTACTTTTATATTGTTTTAGTTTAGTGGCTGTATTATGGAATCCAAATTTCTTTATCATAAGCTGCTTTTAAGATTCACAGTATGGAAAAAACAATATGTACATGTTTTTAATACTATGCACTTAATTTATTTCCAGTATTTGTATCCTAATCCTACAAGTAACAAATATATATGTGTTTGAAATTTGAAATACTATTAATTAATGCAATTAAGGTTTAATGTATTTTAAAGTTAAACCTACCTTTATTTCAATCTTGCCTATCTAAAATATGTATACAGATAGTCCTTGAAATAATGGAGCTTGGCCATTATATGTTCATGTGATGATGGCCTTAAGAGAAACTTTGATCCTCCCATCCCTGTTCCCTCCAGTGAATCATTAAACAAATATGTAGGTCATTAAGTGAAGCACTAATGGGTGCCCTAAACGTGAGGGAGGTCCTGGGTGGATTAGCACAGACATAGCCCACCCCCCTGCCCCAGCTCTCCAAAGGTCACCCCACCCCATGAGATACTCTGTGTGCCGTTTCCACTCCTTGGGTTCTTATACTGTAGGCCTTTTCCCAGTCCCACCAGGTCCCTGTTGGGTTTAAGCGGGGAAGAAGTGCCTAAGTGAAAACTTTGAAGGACCGTCCTCTTCCCCCTCTCCATACACTTTCACAAGATAAACCAAATGGCTAGCATTTCCAATACCATCTCGTACCCAGCAGCAAAGGAGGAGGGACAGCATGTATGAAGTTGGTGACTTCAAGGAATTTAAAAAAGGCTGTCCTGAATGTGCATTGGGAAAATTGAGGTGCGCAAAAAAGATGGGAGGGAAGGCAATATGGAGGGAACATGCATAGCTCCTGTTTGGCTTCCTGCACAGCCAAGCTATTTGCAAATTGAGGGTGGGCATGCATGCATCCAATTATGCTTTTGTAAAAGCAAATGTACACTAATGTTTTAGCAACATTATGTTTTTAACCTGAATTCAAAGACTACCTATAATTTAGAAATTGAATAGTGTAGAAACTTTAAAAATGAAACATTAAAAAAGAAATAAAACAGAACAATAGATAAAATAACAAATTATAAAAGAATCAAATCTTTTGTAAAATGTGGAATTGTGGGCAGATCTCCTAGGGCAGGAAAAAGCCATTTTTAATTTTTATTCATTTTTGTTGGGGGGAGGGGACTTTGTCTTTTTTTTTAAAATCAGCTTCTAGGACAGGGGTGTCAAACTGGTGGCCTGCAGCCAGATGTGTATCACACAGGCCATGCCCACCCCAGCTCCATGAGAAAAACATCTCGAAACGTCACGTGATGCAGCAAGTTTGATACAGGTGTTCTAGGAGATGATTGATGTGGGGGGGGGGGTTGGTCCTGATCTGAAAAATAGACAATGCCAAGATACATTTTGGAAGCAGAAATCAAATGAAATTATGACAGTAAATAAAGCAAACATAAGTGATTGTAGATAATAATTTATATAACAGTGATTAAAATGATCAAGGTATGTCCTCTACCAGTTAAATATGATTGTTATTAACCGTGATTATGCAGTCCTATACATGCTCATTCAGAACTAAATCCCATGGTATTTATTAAGAGAGGGTTAATTTGTCTATAAATTTACAATATAAATATTAAGCCTTAATATTGCCAATACCCGCCACATGTCTTAGATTTTGAGCAGAGTGAGAGAAAATGCAGTTAACATATGTGGAAGAATAAGATGCTAAGAACCACCCCTCTTCCTACTACCATGAAGATCATAAATAGAAAATGTTAGTTTTGAATTACTTCCCACACACAAAGAGAAAAAATGGTAGATAAGGAAGAACAGTTCTAAATTTATTTCCAACCTATGCCCCACTGGGTCATCATTTCAGAGATATTTGCTTACCTAAAAAGAGAAACAGAATGACCAAAGGTGAGCAAAGGAGCAATGGGATCAGGAGCGACTTCCTGCTGGCTTCCCCATTGAGTTTCCTTGAGGGAATCTGGCAGGAAGCATGAGAGATCTTCCTTTCCCTATCCTATCCTACCCAACAAGCAGGTAAGTGGCTGCAGTTTGGTGGGGGAGTGGGTAATTACAAGACAGAATGTTGAAAACGAAGAGCATGTAATTGCAGCAGCAGTCCAGCACTGTGTGACCCGACAAAAGGGCGAACGACAAAACCGCGCCCGACTAAACCGCGCTGCTGACCTCATCAACGCGGCGACAACAGCCAGCGCGGAGAAAGAAGGGCACTTTAAATAGCGCGTCGAAAGAAAGCCGATTTAACTTAAGGTAAGGGTTAGGTTTAGGGTTAGGGGTTAAGTTTAGGTTTAGAGTTTACAGCGTGCTTCTGTCTCCGCGCTGTTGTCGCCGTGTTGATGACATCAGCGACGCGGTTTAGTCGGGCACGGTTTTGTCGTTCACCCTTTTGTCGGTGAACCCAGCACTGCAACAGCAGCCACAACTTTTTAAAATTTCATTCCCTCAGCAGTCTTGGGTCTCAGAGTTCGGACACATTTTGCAAATTAGTCCATCTGTGGTCTCTTGATTTAAAAATTGTTGCTCTACGATACACTGTTTTATCTAGTTTAAACATGATAGAGTTTGGATCAATCTATTTGGTATATATTTTCATATGACTGCAAATAGACATGGGTTTATTCATGTGGCAGTGAACAGCTGGTTAGAATCTTGCTGAGGGAGGGAGGGGGGAGAGAGAGACAGAGAAAGAGAGAGAGAGAGAGAAACTGTGTGTGATAGTTTAGCACATTAGTATCAAACTCAAGGCCTGGGGACCAGATATCTTCCAAACACAACACTGTACAAGAAAATTACTGGCAAGGAGGTTCTGAGAGTCACGAACAAATCTTCACACTAATTAAACAAATTGTTTGCTGCAAACTCCACTCCCCTTTCGCTCCTCTTTATTCCCTGTGGGAGGGGCCATTCACTGTCTATCTGCCTTTACTTCGGAGTCAGCCCTTGTTCCTTAATTGTTTCCTTCTCCTGGCAGCTCTGCACATGCGCACATTGGGAATAGGCTCCAGTTATTCTTCTGCCCCACTGATCTCTGACTCTGAATGCAGCTGATAACTGTTGGACAGACCTGGCCCCATCCCTGCCTCTGACGCAGAGCACTCATCAGACTCCAGGACAGACCCATGTTCCTCCCCAACCTCCTCACTGTTTGAGTCTGCTACCAGCTCCGCTGGCCACTGGCGAACAACAACAATCCAGCCCACAGGGTGCTTAGATCCAGCCTGCAGGGCCACCCTGGAAACAGTGAAGGACTGGCCTGCGATGTCTCTGACAGTGAAAACAGAGCACAGGAGTGCAGTGTGCACTCCTCCCGAGTTCCGTTTTCACTGGTAGAGGGTTGCAGGAGGCCATCGCACCTGAAAATGTAGCTCGGGAGCCTGTTTTCGCTGATGGAGCACTTGGGCCACCATAGGAGCCCCCGACACGAGTGATGTCGAGCTGGCCATGCCCACCCTGGCCACGCCCACCCCAGCCCCTCAAGGTCAAACACAATGCCCTCAATGAAATTGAGGTTGACACCTCTGGTTTAGCATATATACTGTAGCTTTTTACAGTGTACAAGAATGTCCTACTCCGACAAATTTGCAATCAAAAATCTGTCACAGGAAATCAAGTAGAGAAGTAAAAGTGGGAATAAATACAGAATTTATACTTAATTGACCAAAGAAAAGAAGAACCATGCTAGGTGAGACCTAATGCCAGTCTGTTTCAACATTTTTGTTCCATAGTGTCCATGCGTAAGTTCATTTATGGAATTCTATATGAATGGATGCATAAATTAGCCAATTGATATCAACTAACTTATTTTATGTACTTTGTTCTTCATTTAGGGATTATCCATAAACAATTTGAGAATAAGATGAGGTGAGGTCAAATAGTATTAATAAAAATATGACATGTTTAGATGAAAATGATGACCACACTTTCTGGTTTAAACCAACATCCTCCCAGTATCTTTTCAGGGCAAAACGTCATTTCAAATTGCGACATGAGTAAAACTATGAAATAATGAAACAATGTAAATTAACCATGTTTTTCTCCAGACAGAAGTACACTTTAATGTAAATGATATTCTATGGATTTCAGTAGAACTTAAAGATATGGAAGAGTTTCATATTTCAGTTAAAAGCAGATTGGAGCAGTTTGGTCTTTGATTCCTATTTTTAAAATACCCGTTTTACACACTACATACTATAGGCATCTTGTAACAGTTCCATGATGAAACCATAATCAGAGAGGATATTTTCTTATGTCTATATTACATATAGTTGTCTATATTACAACTGGAATACATTTTTGTACTATTATTTTCTGGTTAGAAATTCCTTCTCATGTAGCAAAAAAAAATATGATAGGAATGTCTCATGCTGGTGAACATATCATGCCAAGACATGTTCTGTTTTTAAGCTTGATTATCAGTACATTCTGCTCTTATTATCTAAGATTTAAGTACAAAATATTTTCTGACAACTTTTGAATATTTAGAAAAAAGTTATGAATCTTTTGATGTGATTAAAGCTGGATCATTCCATTTCTGTCTTAAGGGAATGCTTCATGGCTTATAATTATTAGTCATTATGTGTATGCCTGCATTAAGAGCATCCTTAATAATTTGTTCATATTTAGTTCTTTATTCTATTTAGGGAACTGGTTGTAAAGAGGAAACACAGATTACACAAGATAAAACAAAAAAAGAAACGAAGGAAGAACAGAAAAATAAAAAATGCTGTTATTACATCAGTGGACATAAAATCAGATGGACACTTAATTCCAAGTGATGGGGATTCATCACAAAGTGAGCAAGAAAATTCAGAAGACAATGAACAAACAGAATTAGTGTCTGGCCATCCAGATGAAGCTAAAATTGATAGTGAGAATGGCTCAATGAAATATAATCACTTACAACTTTCTGAATTGCAAAAAAAGGAATTCCTTGATTCTGTTGTGGTAAATTCAGTGTCTTTAAAGAAGTCACTTAAAGCAGATATTACTGAAGATGCGTCACTATCAATTACTCTAAATGAAAATATAGCTGGCCAATTATCCAATTGTCATTTATCAAATGGGATCAAAAGCATGTCACTTGCAGAAAGTGACAGTAAAACTTTAGATCATAATAAAAATTCATTTCAACAATCAGATCGAAATGATGCAAGAAAAAATATTGTATTGACTGATAAAGAAAACAAAAATACATCTGCTGAAAACTTGATCCAAGGAAACCAAATGTTAAGCAATGAAGAGGAAACAACTCTTCCACATCCACATGGAACGTCAAAAAGTAATGAAATGAATTCCTGGGCTTTCTTTTCCTTTGATTTGGTTGATGAACAATTTCAGACAAAGACAGAGAAAAATGAATCCTGTTTGACTTGGCCTGAGGATGTATCTAAAATGTTTCAGCAAAGACCAAAAAAGGTCAAAAGGCCTAAGAAGATGCTTTCAGATACAATAACAGAAATAACCAATCATAATTCTAGCAAAGAATTAGTGAAAGAAAACACTAGAAGACGACTGCATGAAAATAACGATACAACAAATAGCTCTTTGTCATTATTGCTGATGGAAAATAAGCTATATGAGAATGATAGTGAATTTGTGAGAGAAAGTGGAAAGGAAGCCAGTTTCACAACGGATGAATGTATATTAGCTTTACCAAAGAAAAAAGAGAAATATAAAAGAATCTTCAAATTGGCCCCAAACTTTGATTTACCACGGCATATTCTTCCTAAAAATAATCAGAAAGTGCTAAACAATATAGATACAGTAACAGAGAAAGAAGACATTTCAAATGAAAAAATGATAAGAAAGAACAAACAATGCTGTGAACTTCAAGCAGCCAATTACAATGCAGTAGCTGAATTTTCTGATTTTGATGTGGAAGTTCCCTTACACAATGGTTCCAATCAACTTGCAGACGAATCTGTGAATATTTTAACAAAAGACTCTGATATTGCAATTCATGAATGTACTTCTGATTCCTGTAAAGCTCCCTCATCAAGTGAACAAGAATTGTTTTCATGTGATGAAACAATAGAAATTAAAGAAAATAAAAAGATCTATCCAGATATTTCAACTACTCAGCCAGATATTTTGCATTCAGTTAAATTAATTACTGAATGCCTTACAAACACTATGGCTGAACCTTTTGAAAATATGGAAGTGATTAATGAAAGTGAACAAAAAATAAATTCTCAAATCAAAGATGTTCAAGATTCCCCATATACAAAATCCAGAAATTTGGAGCTTCCTTTATCACTAAGAGTTGTACTTCAACTAGTAGAACTTTTCGGTTCTCCAGGAGTTCCATTAGGTAATTATTAGCTAAAATAAAGTTGAGAAAAATGTAGAATTTCATATAGTTGAAGTTTAAAAAATAATTTAGTAGTTTAAACTTTACCGTGCATTTTTAGCATTCATTGCCTTTTTATATAGAAGTTAATTTTATTGCTTATTTGGGGGTAAAATGCCAGGTTCTAAAAACTGAAAATTCCATTTTGATGTTAATGATTAGGATATACCTTCATGAACTAAGAGTAACCTCATAAAAATCATGTGCTTAATTTTTAGATTTCAGGCTTGCCAATTTTCAATTTAAATTATTTTCTGTCTATTTAATTATCTTGCGTGTTTTTGATCATGGCCAGTAAATGGGCACATCAATTCCACATTTGCTTAAGCAATGCCTTAGTTTTTGGTTTTCAAACAATTAGTTCAAGGGAGAAGATTGATATTTTAAAAATATTCCAGCCCTTGATGCCTTTTCTTTTTGAAAATGTTTTATAGATATGGTAGGACTGTTCAAACTATTCTGGGAGTGTTTTGCTTATAGGAACAATGTCAACATCACTACAATAAATAATTTTCACAGTCTTGTTGATATTCTTTATTCTGGTCACATGATCTACTATTTAAATTGTCACCACACTGACAATAGGTTGATTTTGCAACTTAGTAATACTAGAACTTTTAAATGAGACCCTCTAGATATTTTTCCCCATTAGCTTTACAAAGGATCCCACACAATATCACCTCTAGCTTATTAATCTTTTTATAATAACATGTAAATTCTATGACTCACCTTATGCCACGTTGCTTCAACATATAGACTGTGAAAATTAACTAACTGTATTGAATGAATCTTTGGCTTCTATTTTAACATTGAATTTAGTACAACTGGATCAACTGCTCCTTGGCTGAAAAGAGAGTGTGAATAATTGATAAAGGTGAAAACACCTACTGGTGCTATTACCACTGAGATGCCATCTTGCAGTTGCCTAAGTCAACTTTCTTGATCCAGTGAGCAGCAACATTCAAAATCACAGCTAAGCTCCAGTCTAGCTGTTGGCCATTCTCTCTGCCAACAATCCCCATTTTAAATCTTAAGAAACAGTTCCCAAATGTGTTCATTATTTCATCCAAAGTGGAATGGCAATAGCAGCAACTGGTCTCTAATAGCAACTGAGCCAAGACCATGATCACCATTAATGCAACACCATTCTTGCTATTGAGGTGAATTGCGGTTGATTGCTCTTTTCAATCTATTACCTAAGATGAAAGGGCTCATAGAGCCTTAAAAGCCAATTATCTCTGTCAAAAGAAAACTGCCAGAAGAACTCCAACTGTTCGTTTTAGAATGGAATATGTTGCCCACTGGTGACTTCCAAAAAATCTAAACAAAAAAAAATCACACAGTTGGCTTGCTACTATTCCCAATCCAAGTGTGGAAAGCCCCATGAAGAATGCATCTTTTTTCACACACTCCTTTGTCTAAATCTATCAATAACTGTTAAATTTATATATACCTTTCTCATCCAAGTTGTCTTTCCCCTATTGTTTTGTAAAACGCATTTAGATATTATGGTTCCCAATTGTTCATAATTTTTCTAATTTTTTTCTTTAATTATACCTTTTCCTTACTGCACTACTGTATATCTGTTGCAGTAAATTTAGTATGTAGTGATGATGTGATAAAGGACAAACCATAGTTCAGAGACTGGATTCAGTCTGTTTTGAATTGTTAAGTGAATCTGGCTTCCCCATTGACTTTGCTTGTCAGTAGATTGCAAAATGTGATCACGTGACCCCAGGACACTGCAACTGTCATAAATATGAACCAGTTGACAAGCATCTGAATTTTGATCACATGATCATGGGGATGCTGCAAAGATTGGAGCTATGAAAAACGGTCATAAGTCACATTTTTCAGTGCTGTTGTAATTTAGGGTGGTCACTAAATGAACTGTTGTAAGTTGAGGACTACCTGTATTTCATATTTGACTGTTGCAATTATATTGTAACAAACATTTTCTATCCTGGATTACATACCTTCATTTAATGCCGTTCCAAAGCATCAGTATATAAACTAATAACCAATTTCAATGGACAATAAATGAAGTAACTCTGCATATTTTATTTTCATTGCTCTCAATGTAATATCTCAAATAATTAAAAAGAGCTTTTCAGTTTTCATTTCATTCAGCACGAGACCCAATTTTAAGTTAATAAACCTTAAGTAAAAAAGCGATATGTGGAAGTGTGAATCAAGCTTTAATAGCTCAGTTATCTTGCACATTTAATGTATGCCATTAATTGTAGCATCATAATTAAATAACTACTGTGCCCTTAGGCTTGATTTGCAATCAAATGACTGTCACACCTATGTAATGTAAACTTTCAATGAGTAGATTAGAAACACTGTGTGTGATCTTGTTTTGTAGATATTTTATTGCCAGATGATTATGTAGTTCCTCTTCACTGGGAAATATCAAAGGAGATCTATCTACAGTGGAAGACATCTGTGGAGGTATGGCCATTACTCCCCTGCATAGTATACAAAATAATTGATGGATGTTAGTCATCTTAAATTATACCTAATAATTTATGCAAAGATACACAGCAGTTAGTAGACAATAGCAATAGCACTTAGACTTATATACCACTTCATAGTGCTTTACAGTCCTCTTTAAGCAGTTTACAGAGTCAGCATATTGCCCCCAACAATCTGGTTCCTCATTTTACTCACCTCGGAAGGATGGAAGGATGAGTCAACCTTGAGCTGGTCAGGATCACAGGAATCTAAATGCCTGGCAATGTGAGCAAAGTTAGCCTGCAATACTGCATTATAACCACTGTGCCACCACAGCTCACCGCAAAATGGATGTGATGTTGGAATAAGCACTGTTTGTTCCTTTTGTGAGGTCCTATTTTGCTAAAGAATTCCCCCCCCCCCCTGCTGTGGACAGAAGAAATATAAGATGAATATTGCATTTTCCTTTATATTTTATTACAGAAGAAACAGGAAAATAACCAATTGAAAGAAAGTTCCTTGCTTGGTGAGTACAATTTTGTGACTTTTTACCTGATTTATAACCAGGAGGAAAATATTTGTTATAATACAACATTATAATAAGATTAAAGTGCCGATACTGCACCAATGTGTAGTAAGCAAGCAAACATAGATTGATGCTGGGAATTTGGAACTGGGAACCCTGTCTTGCTCTTTCTGGCGAAAGATCCTGACAAGCACAGAAACAAAGACATGTAAAATCCTTACGCTGTTTTATATTGTTTCTTTATCTGTAGTTGCTGTAGCTGGTGTCCAGGGTTCAAATAAGGATAGTCAAGAAAGAAAATCTTCAGATATAAACCCAGAAATACCTTTGGAAAAACCATCATTGCTCTGAAAAGTTGTTTGAAGCTACATAATCCAAGCAATAATGCTAGCCTCTCTGAAATTTTATTTAAAAACAATCAACCTTTTTTGCAGAAAGGTAATTTCTTCCTATGGTTTGATTCTGAGGGCTCAATGCTTTGAACCATTCTGAATATGGAATTCATAGACTGGACTCCCATAGAGTGAATATGGTTGCTTCTGGTTTTGCTGTAGTCTCATTGAGGTGAACTTTGCATTATAAAAGAAATGTCAGGGGATGAAGAAAAAAAAGAAAAGGAAAGAAATGGTTTGTTTTAGAATATTCCCAAGAGTAAAAAGTGGCTTTACCAAGAGAAGATCAATATTATTACTGTGGCAGTAGTAATATATTTTTTAAAAGCCATAATTGCTGAAGATGTGTGTTATTTAATATTGTTGACTACCCATAGTTGAGTGTGAAAATCTTCTAGCATCTTACCACTCTGTTTTAAATTGTAAGTTCTTGCATTACTTTAAAAGTGTCTTATTAACACTATATCAATATTTTTATTTATGATCAGAGCATAACATTTGGCTACAAGCTATGCTATTCTGTGTAAAGCAGATGCAAAATATCGAATTATCCAGAACGAAAGGTTATTTAACAAAACTACCATTATAATAATGTGGAGAAATGAATTAACTGCTAAGTAAAAAAAATAGCTAAATTTTGTGTGCAACTGAAACATAATATTATACCTAAGCCCCAGTAAAATATGAATTTTATTTAATTGCAACTGTTAATACCAGCATATGAATTATAGTTTGAGTGGATGAGAAAGTTGTAAAATTTTAATACTTGGGTTTGATCTTTCACTAGATGATGATGGTTATTATTATTATATTACAGAATGTGCTTGCTTTTTGGCTTTCCCTTGGGTGGATTAACAACCATCTAGAATAAAAGTAAACCACAAGAATCAGCAAAAGTACAAAGCATCAAACTTTTTGAATCCCTATCAGTGTCACCTGCTGCTTTTGAATTTCATTTACAAATAAAACTGTGAAGCATGATTGTCATTGTTAAAAGGACAAAGTGAAATAATGTGGTTTCAACTGTTTAAGTCATGTAGGTAGGACTCCCCCCCAAAAAATTAAGGGATATAATGTCATAGATTTGGAAAGCATTTGCAGGCCTTCAAGTCCATTCTCCAGATGAAAGTCATATCTGGCCTAAGATCTATCCAGCATCTTCCTGAACATTATCCAGTGAGGGGAATTCTTCCCTATGAATTACTGTGTAACTCTTCATACCATTAGAAAATTTCTGTAAACATTTAACTGGAATCTGCTTGCCATTAGATCATTATCATTATTAGATCATTATTTTATGTCCTGCATACTGGAACAAGAAAAAAAGTTCTAATTGTCTTCTGTGTTACACCCCTTTGGTCCTAGGCGGCTATCCTATGCCCTTTAATAGGCATTTTGCAACGTTAGACAGACATGTCCTCATATATCTTAGTTTCAAATCCCAAGATTATCCTTATTGCTTTTCTTTCTATCACTTTTGGTTTCTCGGAATCCTCCTTAAAATGTGGTATTCAGAAATGGACACCATGCCAAAGGTAGGACAGAGCTGAATTATTTATTTTTATTATTTCTAAACTATATTTCAATTAATTTAATCTATGAGTACGACAAGTGGTAAATTCCAACTCCTAATACAACACGAGATCTATGTACACAAATAGAATTGCAATCTGATCAGGTTAAATAGTACATAGTGTATTGTTCTGGTACAATGCAAGTACATAGAGAGATAAGTGGCTAAGAACAGTAAATAAAACTCTAAGGGAGGAGAGGGAAGAGAGAGAAGGGGAAGAGATAGAAGTAACTGTAGTAGTTAAATAATACTGGATAACCAGTAATATTTAACCGGAAAATAAAAATAAAATAAGCAATATAGTGTTGCAGAAAATTAAGGGACTCAGATATCAGAATCAAAAGAAGTTTCTTTATTGGCTCAGTCCCCTTCGCATTTCCAATGCTGCATAAGCTGTCATGTCAGGGTGGCTCTGATCATCTCGGATTGCTGACAGCTTTGCTTCTCTGTCAGCTGCTCTTCCCTTTTCTGCTGGATCTGAGCATCCAGCTTGGAGATTGTGCAGATCCCCCATATGAGATCTTTAATTCCCCCAGGCAAGCACACTAGTTTGTCTTTGTTTCTAATAGTTCACGAATTGCATGACTAGTAAATATAGTAATTGGCTACCCACAAGTAAATTATTAGCTTCCTTGATCAGAAGAGCAGTTGTGGCCAGGAGTTTAAGGCAATGTGCCTTAAACTCCTGGTTTAAGGCCTCTTTGCTACTTCATTGTTGTTTTGACAAATAAGCTGTGGATTGTTGCCACTTCCCTTTTCTTGAGTCAAGGAAGGTTTCTCAAGGTTGGGAAGTCCCTTAACATGAGCTTGAGGCAATGTTTACTTTAAAATCTCAAATGCCTGTTTTGTGCATAACAGAGAAAGGCTGGAGCAACGTGATTAACAATGGCATGTGTGCCTTTTGCCAGCATGTA